CTTCACACACAACCAATATGGTCAAATAACAACATTAGATTATGCTTGGTGCAACAGCAGCAACATAATGGAAGTGATGAAGAAACATTTAGTAAACTGGAAATTAGCTTTGGAAAGCACAATCTACTGTAAGCTTTGTTTTCACTGTCTGCCTTTGCCTTTTACCAGCACCTCATGATCATAACAGCACCAAAAAAATAACCTTCTCTGACTCACTAGTTTCTCAGACTTTTCTCTGTGTCTTGTCTGTGTCCAACTCCCACTCCAAGTTGTGCTATGAGTCCTGTCCCTATGAGAGAGGAGAAGGAATGCTGGTTTGTGTATATTTATTGCAGCTAAAAACCAAGCAGTGAAATGTTCCTACAGTCCTAAAACATGAGTCAAATGCATTTTATCGATATCAAGCGGCATTCAAACACCAGGTGAAGAACAGCTGATTACTGATTATTCATTACTAGCCTGCTGACTTACACCACGTGACTCATTGCCGTATGTTACCATAGCAACAATGCTAGAAACAATACAAAGTCAGCTGGCACCTAAATGCACCTAATTCGACAGTGTACGCTATCTGGGCCCCTGCAAGACATATGCCAAGTTTGCAGTAGATCTGAGACTCTTAGGACCCGCCGGAAACCCTGTATTAGGGTGGTAGTGAGGGCTCAATCCACCGCATGTTTTGTAGTGAGGCACAGACAGCTAACTGTTAACTGTTTAGCTCACTACCATGCTTTGTTGCGTTGCGTTACGTTACGTTGGATTAAACAATAATTTAGAAAAAATATATTTAATAATTACCTTTCCTCCTCGTGGCCTGGTGTCCAAGAGCTGAACGTTGCGCTTGATAACGCGGCGCACACTCTCTCCGGACCGGAGCTGCAAGGTGGCAAGTGTCATGCTGCTGCGCTGTCCCGGAGGGGAAAGCCGACGCTATGTGACTTGTCCAGTGTGTGCGCGGGGGGAAGTGCAACCCGGCGGTGGCTGCCCGACTGTTGTCGAATTTGACAAGGTTTCTGATGGTCTCCGCTGACGCCAGTACAGTGTGAAGTAACGCTGCCTGCAGGTTAGGCTACTTGCAGGCTGTTGGGCAGAGCATTAGTGAACAACAACGTGGCTGACGACCAACACGTGAATCGCGCTGTGAATTGCGCATGTTTTGTTGAACCGAAGCCCTTCCGGGTTTACTGAAAACACCTTCCGTTTTAACCCGGAAGGCCATCGCTCTCACACACACTACTGAAAGGCCTCACACACACTACTGAAAAGAAGCTCTCACACACACTCACTGAAAAGCTCTCATCACACACACTTACTGAAAAGCTCTCACACACCACTACTGAAACGCTCTCACACTGAACAGTGCCATGTCTTGAACTAATGTTACTGACTGTTGTTACTGTTGTCTGTTGTTACAGACTGTTACAGTCTGTAAATCCTCTGTTATTTTCTGCCCCATACTGAAGCAATAATACATTTACCAGTGATGATCTTCACTGCATATTACTGCTGTGATTAAATAAATCCTTCATCAGTATTTGAAGTTTTAAGTCAAGTACTTTAGTAAAAAAAATACTGATCATACATAAAAATACTTTTTATGCATGATCAGTATTTTTGTCTTTGCTTATTTCTCATCTATGTCTCAGCATAAAGGAATGACTGTTTATTACATATCCCCTTTTTACATTACATTTATATCACTCAGAAACACCAGTCCTATTTCAAGGTGGCTGCTATAACTGATATTGATAACCACTACCCATTATTTATATAATATTGATAGGGGGTGGTGGTTTGTATTTTGTATTGTATTTCCTATAGCAGTATGACTTATATTGTACTGGCTGGTGTGTCTGATTGTTACATTTTTATTTCAGAGTCAGGGCACAGCAGCATGACCATTTCAACAAGGACGTAATACTACTTCCTAATCAATCATGGGGAGTAGTGTGCAAACAAGGTCCAAAATCATGGCTTACACAAACATGGACACATCCTCAGTGCCTTTGAATTCCAGAAGGACTGGGACCACCAGACTGTTTTAGAAAGCATCAGGGATGGCTTTGGTGAGCACATTCCAGACGATGTCAGGTAAATGCCTCTTTTTTCCTCTTACTTTGATGATTATTACAAACATTTGCTCAGCATTTGTTTTAAAATCTACTTGATTCAGTCACACAGTTAATTGGAGCAAGAAGCCAAAGTGGCGCCCCTACACAAACACAGTAACAACGACAATGACTAACAACGAATGTACAACACACTTTTGTGCTACATAGCCTAAAGCTTTTGTTGTTGTTGTAATATCCCCATCTTCTTTCTAGCCTCCAGTTTCTCATGGCTTGTGGCAATAAGCTGGTGTTCCCAAAGCTCCAGGGTGGTCAGGAGCTAAATGGGATGCTAATTCACAAGGTCTTTAAAACCAAAGCCCTGTATGTGAGACCATCAAGGACCCTTTTAGTACGTTTGCATTTTTGTTTGTTTTTTACCACTTAATAAAATTGTGCTAAATATAATTTTTTTTTTTTTAAAGAAATGTATATTTTTCTCTCTGTTTAAGATTGACTCCGAAGAAGAAAATGACTGTTCTCCCGTTACTACCAGATCAACATTAAGCATGCGCATAACTAAGGGGAGCGATGATGATTGTGTTGAAGTTGATGGTCCTCAGATTTGCACAGACATGAACAGTAATGGCACCACCAGGGCTGCTACCAGGTTTAGAGTAATGAGAAGTAATGAGTATCCCAGTACTAACAGTTATGATGGAGATGGCAAACCTGGCACTAGTACTGGTCATGAAGACAGCTATGGCTCCAATCACACCGTCAGCACCAGTGGTGATGATGGAGGCTACCTTGCAAAAGGTGATGGGAACCCTGGCACCAGGTGCTACCACAACTGATCATGTGAGTGACTACGCCCGATATTTGACACTCGTGGCTACTCTTCCGCCTGACTCTTCAGATGATGAGGAATTAAACCAAGCCATAATTGCCAGTATGGAGAGTCAAATGTGAGTAGCACACACATAGTATGTGAGCTTGAGAGATCAGGATAACTCTCCAGAATGATGTGATCTCATAATTGATATGAATCCTTTATCCCTTACATTATCACATCCATGTTTTGGATTAAATGGTTGCTTACAACCAACAATTTCACAAAATACAAGTTGTTGTAAATTATGTCACATCAATGTGTGTCTGATCATTCATTTTTGATTTTGTGTTTATAGTGCAGAAAAGGTCCCGGTCCAAGAGATACTGCTGGAACTGTCAAGCAAAATTAGCACAAAACGGCAGTGCAAATTTAATATAAATCGCTCTGCTGTCTGGGAGGGAGCCATGCGGGGCTTCCAAAGGGTATCCTACGACCCCAACTTGATGATCAGTGTAAAATTTTCTGATGACATGGGGAGAAATGAAGAAGGGGTTGATTTAGGAGGACCAAGAAGGGAATTCTTAAGGCTGCTGATGGAGACTATTGCCAGGTCACCAATGTTTGAAGGAAAAGAAAACAGCAAGAACTTGGCTCTTGACAGTACTGGTAATGCCTGACTTTTCTAAAAATTCATAATGTGAGCCATTTTAATTGATAGTGATTTTGACATGCAACTTGTAGCTTTTGAACTGATTTACAGTTTATTTAATATTATACTGGAAATCCCATGGTTTCATGTAGTAGCTTGTCTTAATGTATTTCCTCAAAAAGTGACAGGGGCCTTTACTTACCTCAACTGCAGAAGGTACCAGGCTTTTATAAAGTGGGCTTGTTTTAGAGGCAGGGCTTTAAGCATAATTGGTCATATTTTAGTATGAAGCGTTTTAATTTGCCCCTGTTTGCCCTGTTACAGTTACTGCATTATGTGGTAAATTCAAACTCAGCACTTTCTGTATCTGTTTTCAATTAAAACCCCTCTACAGTTTCATGAAACATTTGCAGCAATGTGTTGTGGAAGACTTTGACTTGCAACGTTCCCATATGGCCCTTGA